TTAGCACAGAAACAGCATTATATAACATTTTAGACACATTCTAGACAGTTTATCAGCTAAAAAAAAGTTAATTTTGGGGTAAGTTACTCTTTAAAGTATAAAAGTAAAAGTAATGTAAAGCAAAAATATTAAGCTCAAATGCTTAAGGTATAGAAGTAAAAAAATGGCTGAAAAATTGTTACTCCATTAAAGTATAAATAAGCAAAATTTCTACTTAAGTAAAGTAAGAAAGTATTTGTACTTCATTACTTGACACTTCTGCAAATAATCATTTCCAACTAAATTTGTTAGGGAAAAAAATAATATTAGAACTTTAAGTAGCAATGTAAAAACTACTCAAATCAACAGAGATCAATGCCTCAAAACCAATTATATGAGCTGTATTTTTTATTTTAGTCTCCAYTTGTTTACAGCAGCCAGCCACAAGAGGGCACTTTCCAAGCAAGAAAATAAAAATGCAACCAGCTCGCTACAGCCTGTGAATTTGAAGCAAGAAAGCTTTTGTCTATGTATTTAAGATTTTTTTTTGTCAAATTTGGCTGTAGAAAAACCCATAAAATTATGTTTACTTCAGTAAATGTTCATTCAAATTAGGGAAGTAAATAAATTTTTGTCAGATGGAATAAACATATTAGCCAAAGAGAAAGAAATCAGCATTGTACATCAGTCATTAAATACTCTAGTCTATCTCAAATTTGGCTATAGAAAAACCCATAAAATTAATCTTGGGTCAGTAATGTGCAAGGCAGCTATATTTGAGTGTTTAAACAYGTTTTTAAAAAGTATAAATTTTATAAAATTTGTCATGTTTAAAAAACATGCAATATACAGTATATGCAGATCATTTATCATATTATGCATAAAGCTTTTTAGTCACAAGACTTTTTTTTACAAGACAGTTTTTTTCTATAAAACAATATGGTTTTACAAACAACATGTTTTTATATTGTAGACTTGAGCAATGGAATTAAGAACACAAACCAGGTTTCAAATGATAAATAGATTTTTTTTCCAGAAGTATTACTTAATGTGATCTTTCTTATATTAGACTATAAATATATTAGTAATGTTTGTGTTACGTATTGAAAGTGGTTTGGAAAAAAGAGTAATCTGAAGATTTGCATTGGTTAAAGTATGCTTTTCTAAACTGGAAATTGTGGATGAATTCTACCTGACACGATTCTTCTGCACCGTCAGGATACCCGTCTCCTTTGGGAGGTTCAGAACACGCCCCCAGTCCAGTTCCAGCCAACGGTCCTCCCTCTGGCCCCGGCACAGGCCCTATGGAGGTTAGTGGGGACCCAAATCAGGGTATTGGCCAACCAAACCGTGGTGGTCCTCAGGGTCCAGGTGGCCCACCAGTTCAAGGAGGTGGACCAGGTGGGGCTGGTGGACCCACGCCTTTTAACCAGAACCAGCTGCACCAACTCAGGGCCCAGATTATGGCCTATAAGATGCTGGCACGCAGTCAGCCTCTTCCAGAGCACCTGCAGATGGCCGTTCAGGGGAAGAGGCCCATGCCTAATATGCCACCATCTGCAGGACCTGGAGCTGGCCCAACTACTGGACCTGGACCAGCTCAGGCCAATTACAGCAGACCACATGGTGAGTTAAGGAAGGTTTGAAGCAAACAAATGCAGAAAAACAAAACACTTGATATGTACAGCTGATTTTTCTGTTAAATGTAAGACAATATGTAAATGATTAGATCTTTGTTATACTTTAGGTGTAGTAGGTCCCAATATGGTGCCCCCTGGACCTGCAGGAGGTCCTCCTGGTATGCAAGGCCAGCATGCCAATGGGCCTCCCAAACCATGGCCTGAAGGTAACATTTTGACACAGCAATAATCAAACCAATATGKGATTTACCGTTAAAGAGAAATAAATGACCAAATGTTAACTTCTAGGACCAATGGTGAACGCTGCTGCCCCGTCCAACCCTCCTCAGAAGTTGGTTCCCCCTCAGCCCACCGGTAGACCCTCCCCTGCTCCCCCCTCTGTGCCCCCAGCCGCCTCCCCGGTAATGCCCCCTCAGACGCAGTCCCCGGGGCAGCCCGCACAGCTCCCCACCATGATGCTGCACCAGAAGCAAAACCGCATAACRCCTATCCAAAAACCCCGCGGGCTGGACCCAGTGGAGATCCTGCAGGAGCGAGAGTTCAGGTGATTTAATGGTCGATTTCTCCGCCAAATGTTTCCTCTTCAAACCTTAAAAATTCAAATTTTGCTCTATTATCTTGGAATAAATTGCTTTAAAAACACAGCATCAGCTTGTAACACAAATGTATTTTGTGTCTCGTTGCTTTCATAATAAAAAAAATTWGTTTGCTAATTAATTTAGTATTTTCTGTACAATTCCTATTTGCAGAAAAACAAAAAGGTTTCTAAAATCCAACAAAATAGTTTTTTTTATTTGAAACAAGGACAGCAGAATATACAAGTATCAAAAGAAAAGTCCTAAAATAGAACCTGGTGGAACACCTATTTTTGAAGGTTGAACACATCAGATCACTTTTTAAGAAAAAAAAGTGTTTTTCATGTCTTTCATAGTTTAAACATTTATATAAGTACAAAATATATCCGTTTTTTTCTAGCTTCCTTCATTGTGTTTTGAATATGTGTTTTTTTCGTCAGGCTGCAGGCTCGTATCGTTCACCGCGTACAGGAGCTGGAAAACCTGCCAGGCTCATTAGCTGTGGATCTGCGCACCAAGGCCTCCATCGAGCTCAAAGCTCTGAGGCTGCTCACCTTCCAGAGACAGGTAAACGATAAATGATTTGCAGTTTGAGACCTGTTGTTTTCCTATATAGGGGAAAAAAGATGAGTTTTTTTTGTTTTGTTTTGTTTTTTCCTCCTCGCAGCTGCGTCAGGAGGTGGTGGCTTGCATGCGTCGGGATACTGCTTTGGAAACCGCCCTGAACGCTAAAGCCTACAAACGCAGCAAACGCCAGTCTCTACGTGAGGCTCGCATTACTGAGAAACTTGAAAAACAACAAAAGATTGAACAAGAGCGCAAACGTCGACAGAAACACCAGGTACAGAGTCATTATGGTTAGAGGGTAATGATGATGATGATAGCAGTGCTTACATCTTTTTTGTTTTTCAACTACTAAGAACTTTGTCTTATTTTAGTTCCAATTTATAGCACATTGATTATATACACTTAGATGTGACAAGATCAAAGTGGAGGCATGCACTTCAAAGGGCTTGGTTTGTATCTTTCTTTTTACAGGAATACCTCAACAGCATTCTGCAGCATGCCAAGGACTTTAAGGAGTACCACCGTTCCATCACAGCAAAGATCCAGAAGGCCACCAAAGCTGTCGCCACCTATCATGCAAACACAGAGCGCGAGCAGAAGAAGGAGAACGAGCGCATTGAAAAGGAGAGAATGCGGAGGTTGATGGTGAGAACAAAAAAATAAATAAAAACTGCATAAGTTGGTTAATAAAAAACCTAATTAATATTTTTGTAAAAACGTTCCCAGGCTGAAGATGAGGAAGGTTATCGTAAACTTATCGACCAGAAGAAAGACAAGCGTCTGGCCTATCTGCTGCAGCAGACAGATGAATATGTGGCTAACCTCACAGAGTTGGTGCGTGCCCACAAAGCCGCTCAAGCTCTCAAGGAGAAGAAGAAGAAGAAAAAGAAGGTGAATAGGTTTTATTCACTGCTGTGTTGTTGTTGTTGTTGTTGTTGTTGTTGTTGTTGTTGTTGTTGGTGTTGTTGTTGTCGTCTTTAATTTGGCTTCATTTTAAAGTCAAACCATCAATGTTCTCTTACTTTTAGAAGCCAGAGACTGCAGAGGGTGGGGCTCCTGCTATTGGACCTGATGGAGAGGTGAGTTTCAAGGAAGAAAATCTTTGTCTTTAGTTGTTCTTCAGTTTCCTCTAATGGTTAGTTTTTGATTTCTGACAGCCTTTAGATGAGACCAGCCAGATGAGTGACCTTCCTGTTAAAGTCATCCATGTGGACAGTGGAAAGATCCTGACAGGTGTCGATGCACCTAAAGCTGGCCAGCTGGAGACGTGGCTTGAAATGAACCCGGGGTGAGTATCACAGCTTGTTAGCATCCTGGTAAAATGGCTAACTTTAAATAAAATTTAAGTTTGTGTGCACCATGAATGGTTTTAATTGACAGTGATTTAGGAAGTTGATAAAGTTACAGTTGTGTGGTTTTCTTGCCATGATGTTAGAGTCAAATAAATGGCTGTAAAATGGCTTTTAACTTTGACTTAAATTGCTATTGTTTGTTTGTTTGTTTGTTGTTTTTAGGTATGAGGTAGCACCTCGTTCAGATAGTGAAGACAGTGGTTCAGATGAAGAGGAGGATGACGTGGAGGTATGTGTTGTAGGTTATTTCCTCTAARGGAATTCTTTTCAGAAGCCTGGGTGTTTTGTTTTGTTTTGGTTTGTTTTCTTACCCCATCTGTTTTTACTACAGAACTGATGGTTGAAACAAATTATCTGGGTAGAAATTTACCCCAGAAAACAGTTCTGGTAGGGAATTAGTAATTCTGAAACTACCTCCAGATTAATGATTGGGGGAGCAGTAAAGTCTGGTTTGTAGCCCATTGTTTCGCTGGCACAGTTGAGTGAAGAAATTTACATATTTTTCTTCTGTCTTCCCTGCATGAAGCTGAATGCTTAATTTAAAACATTCCCCCAATACTTGGAGTGATTCTTCTTCTTCCATTTTAAAATGTAATTTCATCATTTTAGAAGCTGCTGTCTGACTCGCTGCAACATCACATCTGAAATTGGTTTAGAACTAGACATAATTATGCACTAGACCAAGTAACTCATTTATATTTATTTAAATACATATATTATCAGTAATTACATTCTGACTTGTATAAATGATGTCAGTTTTACCATTAAGTTGTTTGGTRGTTCTAATTCAAGATATMTGTAATGAATTACWGARTGAAACAATATTTCAGATATAAACTATTCATTTATGACTGGTCATGAAGTTAGTTTGAGAGATCTTACTTTTTGTTCTGAATAATGATATTTTAATTAAGAATGTCTTAAAGGACATCAGGTTTGTGGGTACAGTAAATAATGGTGTTCTTAGCTGTTTTCCTGATATTTTTATTCATTTTGAAATGAAAATTATATCATATTGATCATTAAGAGTTRTAACGAGATACAGGTTTCAGTCATATCACCCTAATATGTAGTAAAAACTAATAAATATAAAAAGTGATGCTCTGTGTGTGAAGTGGTCAGACTTCAGTTTTCATTTGTGTTTTCAGGAGGAAGGAGAGGATCAGCCTCATCATGCTTCATCTGACGAGAAGAAAAAGATTCCAGACCCTGACAGCGAAGACGTCTCAGAAGTGGATGTTCAACACATCATCGAGTAAACTCCGCTTCACTTCTTTCTTTAGAACCATCTACAGTTCAGTCACTAAGTTATACAAAGATATAATTTCTCACTGTGTTGTTTCTCCCACTAGACACGCCAAACAGGATGTAGACGATGAGTACGGCAGTGCGAGTTTCAACCGAGGCCTGCAGTCCTACTACGCTGTGGCTCATGCTGTTACTGAAAAAGTGGACAAACAGTCATCACTCTTGGTCAACGGACAACTCAAGCAATATCAGGTGAGCGCTTGCAACAGAGACGCGTTCAGAATAAAACTGAAGGTTTGATTTGTGCAAACTGAAGCAAACTTTTTTATTTATTTAGATGAATCTACTGAAGGTTAATGATTTCATTGAGTACAATATCTTAAAATTCATGTACAAAGCTCATAAAAATCTGTTACCTAACAACATCCAAAGCAGATTTATCAAAAGAGAAAGTATATATAATTTAAAAGGTGTTGAGACTTTTGAAAAACAGATTCAGAACTGTATTAAAAGGAAGATGTATCCCAATTAAGGGTGTTAGTTTGTGGAACGTTCTTGATAGTGAGATAAAACAGTCAAAATCCTTTTTTTTTTGTTAGAAAAACTTGAAAATTACTTTGATGAAGCGTTATAATATTGTCTAAAGTATAGTTTTGTTGTAAATTTGTTTGTTCAATTACTTTCGCCGAATGTTGACGGTGAACTTTTGAGTTGGTGGTTGATTTTATTTTGCGATTGGGGGCAGATATAAGTTTGTACTTCTTTCTGCTCCTTTTCATTCATGACTTCTTTTACGTAACTTAGTTTTTCTTTCTTTGACATTTTGATTTTGTATGAATCATTGTTTGTTTTATTTTTGTTTCTTTTTGTCTTTTTTCTTTTTTTACTGGATGACCTGTTTTTTGATCTATTTTTCTTTTTTCTATTGTTTTATTAGTTTTTGTTTTGTTTGTTTTTAGGATTTTTAGTATTGGATGACTTGGTGTTTTGTACTCATATTTCAATTCATGATTGAAATAAACAAACAAACTAACTTTTACCTGTTTACTGCTCAGATTAAAGGTCTGGAGTGGCTGGTGTCACTTTACAACAACAACTTAAACGGAATCCTGGCTGATGAGATGGGTCTGGGAAAAACCATCCAGACCATCGCCCTCATCACTTACCTCATGGAGTTAAAGCGCATCAACGGGCCCTTCCTCATCATCGTACCTCTGTCGTAAGTCTTGACCATGATTTCCTCTGCCTGTGTTTGTCTGTAAACAACAAATATAACTCTTCAGAAAACACACAGAGTACAAAACTCTTTCAATCAAACGTGTTTTTTTTTTCTTTTGGTTTTGTTTTTAGGACTTTATCAAACTGGGTGTATGAGTTTGATAAATGGGCACCGTCTGTTGTGAAGGTCTCCTACAAGGTAAGAGAGACTTTCTTTCACTGTTATGAGAAAAAGAGAGTCGGTCGCTGTGTGTTCTGTCARTTTATTTAATGACACCAAAAGAGAGAAGCTGTGTGAAAAGTCAGGTTCTGTAGGATGAAGAACTTTAGTTATTGTTTTCTTTATGTTGTAGTATTCTCTTACATGGTTGCAGAGGAATTTTTTGGCCCTTCTTCTTTACAGTGTTGCTTCAATTCATTAAAATTAGCAGATTTTCTGCTTTGCTTGCATTAAATCCCACCACAGCATTTTAAGTAAGAAGAGGTTTTGAGATATACTGGACTGTTGCAATAACTTGATTTTTTTTACTGTCATTTTGTTGGACAGGGTGAGTCTAAAGTCGCAGGACACCCTTTTATTTCAAAAGAAAAATGTAAATATCAGAGCACCGCATCAAGTAATGGGAGAGGGGGGCTCATCTTTTAGGCTATGTCCAGAACATGGAAGCCATATTGAAAGCTGCTATATTGGATTAAAGTCAAAATTTTCCAATGGGAAGTGGGTCGTGTAGCATTTTATAAAAGGCCAGAATTGTCTTAGAAATGGATTGCTGCAATCAGATGTACAATATCTTTTGTGAATGGCTGCCCAGAACACCCAGTCTGACCCCACATCTGAAACAAACAGCGCCTCATCGTGGAAGCTTGTGACAACATTTCTCCAGAGATCCTCATGCAGGTTCATAATGACTGGATTCTGTGCCCTCAGCTCTGTGTTCAGCACCAGGGACAGCTTGTTAAACAAGTCAAATAGCTGCGCATCTCAAACAACGTTCCAAGTTGTTGCAACTTTTTTGTGTTAACTTTTGAACTGCAAGAGCTACTGCAAATCACCTTTGGCCTTCTTGGATACGCTACATGACTTTGATCCAGTGTGGTGGCTTTCAAGATGGTGACTGTGTTCTGGACCTTACCTAAAAGCGTGAACTTAACTTTTCACTTACCGCTTTTACCTGTTGGCCTTATTTTTTATTATGTCCTGATATGTGAAACTCTAAAGTTTAAGAGGCTGGACTTTCTTTTTTCATGACTGTAAATTGTGAGTGTTTTTGCTCATATTGTGTCACGGCAAAGGACTTTTTCCCGGTGTTTGTACTTATTTATTTACTCTGTGGGTATAATTAATCTAAATGTACCTCTGTTTAATTTCAGGGATCTCCAGCCGCTCGTCGTTCATTTCTTCCAATTTTACGAAGCGGCAAGTTCAACGTGCTGCTCACCACGTACGAGTACATTATTAAAGATAAACAAGTGTTGGCAAAGGTAAAGGGCATCTCACCTGAAATGTATCAGCTGTCAGTATAATCGTGGTCTTCATTTGACATCGTGTTCTTCTCAAAGATTCGTTGGAAGTACATGATCGTGGACGAGGGTCACCGTATGAAGAACCACCACTGTAAGCTGACTCAGGTCTTAAACACGCACTACTTGGCCCCCCGGCGCTTGCTGCTCACAGGAACCCCCCTGCAGAACAAGCTGCCGGAGCTCTGGGCGCTGCTCAACTTCCTCCTGCCCACCATCTTCAAGAGCTGCAGCACCTTCGAGCAGTGGTTCAACGCTCCCTTCGCCATGACCGGAGAAAAGGTGAGCTGGAGGAGACGGAGACACGATGGCTGATTGATTACAGCTCGATTCTTCTCAATTTTGCTTTTTTTGACACAAGGTTGACCTGAATGAAGAAGAGACCATTCTGATCATTCGACGTTTACACAAAGTGCTTCGACCATTTTTGCTGCGCAGACTCAAGAAGGAAGTGGAAGCCCAGCTGCCGGAGAAGGTTAAACCGTTTTTAATATTTTAATACTTCATTATATTATGACATAAATTTTAAATGTATCAATGTTTTAAAACTAATTTTCAATGTAAAAATTTGACCTGTGATTAAATATTGTAACAAAACTTTTACTGGAAGCTGAACTTTGATTAGGTGAAATCTGTACTAATGTATGATTCAGTGTTATGAGATATACAGTATGTTTAGTTTTATAGTTTTAAGCATTTTTGATTGCAATGTGCCAATTACATCATATGTTAGCAGCTAATTTTATTTTCAGTTAAATAACCCTCGTGGTCTTTTTGTCATGTTCAGGTGGAGTATGTGATCAAGTGCGACATGTCGGCCCTGCAGAGGGTTCTGTACCGGCACATGCAGGCTAAAGGAGTCCTGCTAACAGATGGATCAGAAAAAGACAAAAAGGTATCAAGATGATGTTTCATTTCAGCTAAAAGTTTGGGGGGAAATGACTGAATATTGTTACTATTGTTTATTGTCACTGATGTTTTTCAGGGTAAAGGAGGCACAAAGACCCTGATGAACACCATCATGCAGCTGAGGAAGATCTGCAACCACCCCTACATGTTCCAGCACATCGAAGTATGAATAATGATGTCAATACATAGAAGTCTTCAACATTAGTGCCAACAATTTTAAAAATGTCAATTTTCTCCTATTACCTTTGTCTACAGGAGTCCTTTTCTGAGCATCTTGGTTATTCTGGAGGAATTGTGACTGGGTGTGTACAACTTAAATTAGCATCTAGTGAATATAAATCTACGYACTGTGTGAATATTTATGTGTGTCTACTTCTTTGGTCTTTCGTTTTGTTTCATTTTAAAACAGATATTGGAAAAAAATGATGGTTATTCTTTTTTTATTTAAAAAACATCTAATCTATTTTATTTAAAAAAACAAACTATCATCTGACATCTGTTAAAGAAATGTCAACTAGTCAGCTAGTGTTTATCACAGTTACCTGGTTAGCTAGTTATAAAGTAAACATGTTTTTTCATCTCGTTATCAGACTATTTAAGGCGGCGCTAGATAAAGTTTTTTTTAAATAAATTATATATATATATTTTAATTTTTTTTATATATATTAGACTAACTATATTAATAAAAATAGTTAAAGAAATTCAAAATACGTTTGTTTACTTATTTACTGGTATTAAAAAGTTATTTGACTAACTCTACCATTAATGGTCTGATAACGACATCATTAAAGTCCGGTTTGACAAAAATAAAAACATGTTTTCCTGTTCTTTGGAGAATATAATGAAAATAGAATAACCGTCCGTTTTTTTTTTTGTTTGTTTGTTTTTGTTTTGTTTTGTTTTGTTTTTTAATATCTGTTTTAAAAAATGAAAATGGAATAACCAAAAATAACACAAACCATTTGTCTTAGTCCTTTTGACATTCTCCCTTTTCTGTCTTCAGCCCAGACCTGTTTCGCGCTTCTGGAAAGTTTGAGCTGCTGGATCGGATCCTGCCCAAGCTGAGAGCCACCAAACACAAAGTGCTGCTTTTCTGTCAGATGACCACCCTCATGACCATCATGGAGGACTACTTTGCTTACCGCAACTTCAAGTACCTACGTCTGGACGGTGAGGTGCTTTTAATGATGCCTGAGAAATGTTTGGGGGTTTTGTAGAAGCTTTACAAATATTTTTTTTCTCTCCTCCTCTCATAGGAACCACCAAAGCTGAGGATCGTGGCATGCTTCTGAAGACGTTCAATGACCCRGCCTCTGAGTACTTTGTGTTCCTGCTCAGCACCAGGGCAGGAGGTCTGGGCCTGAACCTGCAGTCTGCTGATACCGTCATCATCTTTGACAGTGACTGGAACCCTCACCAGGTGCTGTAGCAGTTTAAGGAATTCCCTAAATTTAAGTYAGTGAAAGGTTTATGATGCCTAAAACATGAATAATTCAAGCTTGATAAATCCCACAGTGCTTGCTCATGCATATATTTTACATCAGCTCTGAATAGGGACAGGGTGTCAAACTCATTTTCGCTGAGGGTCACATGACCATCATGGTGGTCCTCAAAGAGCCAGTTGTAATTAACTGTTTCGTGTTTAACTTTAACTAAACATGAAACATCATGTTCCCCGTCTCGTTTCTACTGCTGAGCTCTGCGTGGTGTTTCCTGCATAGAAACAGCATTTTAACACGGCCTTAAAGTACTAAGTGTACATAAATGTAATGTAAATATGAAATAATACAGAAATACTATGATAAGTGAGTAGAGTTTTACTCACTACTGAGTTTTGGTGAATAGCTGCTATGTTGAATTATGAACTCTTTCAAATAGGGAATTCCCTTGTATAATCAAGATGCACTGTGGGAGATGTAGTTTATGGTCAGTGCTGGCTTTAAAGCAGTTTGAGACATTAATACAGGGCTGTTTAACTAAAGTATTATTATCCTACCTTTTTTAAATTTATGTTGTTGCATTGAATTATAAATTTACAATTGATATAAAATATATTTTTATATTAAATTGAGTTGTTTTTTTTTTTCTTTTTGGTCCAGCCTGCCTGCAGACCCTTGAGCATGTGGTTTAGGGCTGTTTTTAAATGCTGACCACAAGTATGAACTGATCAAGTTACAGATACTCTATGTTAATTACAATACTTTTGCTGGTTTGTACAGGACCTGCAGGCTCAGGACAGAGCCCACCGAATCGGTCAGCAGAACGAGGTGCGGGTGCTCCGCCTCTGCACCGTCAACAGCGTGGAGGAGAAGATCCTGGCAGCGGCCAAGTACAAACTGAACGTGGACCAGAAGGTCATCCAGGCGGGCATGTTCGACCAAAAGTCCTCAGGCTACGAGCGCCGGGCCTTCTTACAGGCCATTCTGGAGCATGAGGAGCAGGACGAGGTGGGGGCTGGAGGCAGCGTTTAAATTACATCTTCACTGCCAGATATTATGCAGCAAATGATCTTCTGTGCAATTAATCCAGCCAACTAATCTACTGACCTTGTTTCTTTTTGTTGTCAGGAGGAAGATGAGGTGCCTGATGATGAGACTGTCAATCAGATGATTGCCAGAAGTGAAGATGAATTTGAACTGTTCATGGTTTGTCCCTTTTAAAATGGATGATACTGTTAATTATACCTGATAACTTTAGAGACCAACTCTGATCGCTGTTGTTTTTCTTACCAGCGTATGGACCTCGACAGACGCCGTGAGGAAGCCCGCAACCCTAAGAGGAAACCTCGCCTGATGGAAGAAGACGATATGCCGAGCTGGATTTTAAAAGACGACGCCGAAGTTGAGAGGCTAACCTGCGAGGAGGAGGAGGAGAAGATGTTCGGCCGGGGGTCCCGTCAGAGGAAAGAGGTGGACTACAGCGACTCGCTGACAGAGAAGCAGTGGCTCAAGGTGAGGCGGGGACAGAAACGCCGTTCGAGTACGGCTTTAACCCTGTCTTGCATGACTGATTTCTCTTTTCACCACAGGCCATAGAAGAAGGCAATCTGGAGGACATCGAGGAGGAAGTTCGCCACAAAAAGACCACCAGAAAACGAAAGCGAGACCGCGACCTTGACGGCGGCCCCATAACGCCCAGCTCCAGCAGCAACCGCGGACGAGACAAAGACGACGACGGGAAGAAAGCAAAGAAACGTGGTCGTCCGCCTGCTGAGAAGCTCTCTCCCAACCCCCCATCCCTCACCAAGAAGATGAAGAAGATTGTAGATGCTGTCGTCAAATACAAGGATGGGTAAGATTATCTAAAACTATTACTGCTCTGCTGTAACACGATCACATGATGCTGTGAAGGTTTCACTGTTTCTGCTGAAACAACCCTGACCTGTTTAGATCAGCTGTTATCTGAAGGTTTGTTTATCTGACACCAAGCCATTCGTAGGCTTTGGGTCTTTTATGTCACAAAGTAAAGTTTGATTATCTGATTCATTGATACTTTAGAGGCCAAGTCAGCACACATCAGACTTATATTTCTCAAATTGTTCTTGAACAGTTTTTTTACAACGTGGCAGGGTGCGTTACTAAACACGCCACCGCTTATTTTAATTCTAGATGCGTCATATTCTGAACTGATCTACAAATGTCAAAAATCTATTAAAACTTTAATCTGTGCTTCCACTTTACGAGAATCAGCTGCAGTGTGGGGCTGTTTGTCCCAGTAGAGTTACCGTAGCTTCCTGTATTAAGGTCATATTGTAGTAAAAGCTTTTATCTTTTTTTTTCACTGACCTCTGGGAATATGTCTAATAGTGGTACATAATCCTTAGTAATGACTTTAAAACATTAGATTTGTGTTTATCTTTCCAAAAATAAATACAATGTACAAATGTGTTCTTTTCTCAGGCATTTTCAGTGTTAAGTTAGCATCTATGCTAGTTATTTGTAAGCAGCCTGTGATTGATGGTTTTTTTGCGGTGTTATTGTGTACTGTTTATTAGGCATGAAAATACGTATATAAGTCATAGTGAAGTTTCACGATAATTGAACTGCATCAGTATTGTTTGATAATCACATCGCAGCCCTCTGAAATATAAATGAACCATGGAGTGCCTAAAGATTCCCGCTCAACTTATAGGGACCATGAATGAGTTACAGTGGGGAAAATAAGTATTTAGTCAGTCACCAATTGTGCAAGTTCTCCCACTTAAAAAGATGAGAGAGGCCTGTAATTGACATCATAGGTAGACCTCAACTATGAGAGACAAAATGTGAAAAAAAATTTGAGAAAATCATTTTGTCTGACTTTTAAATAATTTTTTTGCAAATAATGGTGGAAAATAAGTATTTGGTCACCTACAAACAAGCAAGATTTCTGGCTGTCACAGACCTGTAACTTCTTTTTTAAGAGGCTCCTCTTTCCCCCACTCATTACCTGTATTAATGGCACCTGTTTGAAGTCGTTAACAGTATAAAAGACACCTGCCCACAACCTCAAACAGTCACACTCCAAACTCCACTATGGTGAAGACGAAAGAGCTGTCGGAGGACACCAGAAACCGAATTGTAGACCTGCACCAGGCTGGGAAGACTGAATCTGCAATAGGCAAGCAGCTTGGTGTGAAGAAATCTACTGTGGGARCGATAATCAGAAAATGGAAGACATACAAGACCACTACTAATCTCCCTTGATCTGGGGCTCCACGCAAGATCTCAGCCCGTGGGGTCAAAATGATCACAAGAACGGTGAGGAAAAATCCCAGAACCMMMARGGGGGATCTAGTGAATGACCTGCAGAAAGCTGGGACCAATGTTACAAAGGCTACCATCAGCAACACACTACGACGCCAGGGACTCAGATCTTGCAGTGCCAGACGTGTCCCCCTGCTTAAGCCAGTCCATATCCAGGCACGTCTGAAGTTTGCTAGAGAGCATTTGGATGTTCCAGAAGAGTATTGGGAGAATGTCATATGGTCAGATGAAACCAAAGTAGAACTATTTGGTAAAAACACAACTCGTCGTGTTTGGAGGAAAGTGAATGCGGAGTTGCATCCAAAGAACACCATACCAACTGTGAAGCATGGGGGTGGCAACATCATGCTTTGGGGCTGTTTCTCTGCAAAGGGACCAGGACGACTGGTCCGTGTACATGAAAGAATGAATGGGGCCATGTATTGTGAGATTTTGGGTGCAAACCTCCTTCCATCAGCAAGGGCAATGAAGATGAAACGTGGCTGGGTCTTTCAGCATGACAATGATCCCAAGCACACTGCCAGGGCAACAAAGGAGTGGCTTCGTAAGAAACATTTCAAAGTCCTGGAGTGGCCTAGCCAGTCCCCCGATCTCAACCCCATCGAAAACCTTTGGAGGGAGTTGAAAGTCCGTGTTGCCCGCCGACAGCCCCAAAACATCACTGCTCTAGAGGAGATCTGCATGGAGGAATGGGCCAACATACCAGCAACAGTGTGTGCCAACCTTGTAAAGACTTACAGAAAACGTTTGACCTCTGTCATTGCCAACAAAGGATATACAACAAAGTATTGAGATGAACTTTTGTTATTGACCAAATACTTATTTTCCACCATTATTTGCAAAAAAAATTCTTTAAAAGTCAGACAAAATGATTTTCTCAAATTTTTTTTCACATTTTGTCTCTCATAGTTGATTTCTACCTATGATGTCAATTACAGGCCTCTCTCATCTTTTTAAGTGGGAGAACTTGCACAATTGGTGACTGACTAAATACTTATTTTCCCCACTGTAACTTAGGTGGAGCGTGTCAAAGTGACGTTATGAAGGGCAGAATTCACATCAGTAACTTTGAGCTTGTTGCAGGATCCCTTCCCTGAAAGATTTCTTTTTTTTTTTTTACATCCTGACCAAGAGAGGAACAGAAAAGTCACTTCCTTTCTGATTTTATCTTATTACCAGGAGGGGTTGTATTGAACTAATGCATGTTTTTAATTCACCTGTCATAACCTTTTGGCTTCATTTATTTTTAAAAAGAGTGGGAAAAAACTCTTAAGTGATTAATAAATCTGGTGGAAGCTGAAACCACAATGATCTTGTTTCTATAGGAACGGTCGACAGCTGAGCGAGGTCTTCATCCAGCTGCCGTCTCGTAAGGAGCTGCCAGAGTACTACGAGCTGATCCGCAAACCAGTGGACTTCAGGAAGATCAAGGTAAAGAGAAAAGTTCTTCTCCTGTCTTAATATGTTGTATTTTTTTCTACGCGTCATAATTAATGATGTCTTTCAGGAGAGAATCCGCAGCCACAAATACCGCAGCCTGAATGACCTGGAGAAGGATGTGATGTTGCTCTGTCAGAACGCCCAGACTTTTAATTTGGAGGGCTCTCTGGTGAGTCTCACCACGTATCTAATAAGGTTTTTGTGTTTCCTTTTTCTAAAATTATATTTCATGTGAAAAATTTCAGATCTACGAGGACTCCATCGTGCTCCAGTCCGTTTTCACCAGCGTGAGGCAGAAGATCGAAAAGGACGACGAAAGCGAGGGAGAGGAGAGCGAGGAAGAGGAGGAGGAGGTCGACGAAGGCTCAGAGTCTGAACGTGAGTGTTGGAAGTCAGCAAAAGCTCGGCTCTTATCAGCTGCACTTGACGTTGTGCCATTTAATAATATCTGTGTTCCCTGCAGCTCGTTCGGTGAAGGTGAAGATCAAATTGAGCCGGAAGGAGAAGGGCGAGCGAGGGGGCAAAGGTCAGAGGCGGCGAGGCCGCGGCTCCCGGGCCAAACCTGTGGTCAGTGACGACGACAGCGAGGATGAACAGGAGGAGGTGAGACACTCAAAGCAGATCAGATTACTGCTAGTTTAATAGTTGGTGGAAGGTTTTAAAATGTTGGAAAATCTGAGGCAGTTCAGTTTGACCTGATTTCTGTTTGTATTTGATGCAGGACCGTTCAGCCAGCGGCAGTGAGGAGGACTGAAGTGGACCAGCTGGACTTCACTTCATATAATTAGATACAGCAGGGAGAGAGACCGGGCGAGGGCCTAGTTTCACCTAGATGAGCTGATTTTTAGTGAGACGGTTGTCTTGTCATTAAAATAGGCCTTTAATTAAAAAAATAATAATGAAAGCAATGCTTCATTTTTTCATATTTAAATGAATTCTCATAAATAATGTCTTTTTGCTTTCTCTTCTAAGTGGACCATTGACAGAGTCTAAATTAAATTGGACTGATYGCGGACCATCAAAACAGTTTTTCTTTCTTTTGTTTTCCTTCTTTTTTTTCTGCTTTTATACTTTGAGACCAGCATTCCTCTGAATCCCTTCTGAATGCATGTCATTGTGTCTTTATGATTATCTGTTTTAATTTAATGACTACAAATGGAATCATGGTACATCCCACCCTGCAGCCCCTCCCCCTCAGGTCATATATGTAAAAGGGGAGGGAGGGATGAGACCTTTTTTCTCGTGTCAGTGTCACTGGATTCCATACAACACAATAAAACATCTCATGATTCATTTGTGGTCTTTGGTCTTTTTGCTCTAAAATGGAAAAGAAGATGCTGTCATGCTATCGGCAGCATTTTGTTTTAGTTTAGTCTTTTTTTTGTGTGTGTCTTCCACTAAACTACCGTTTGATGACAGTTTCAGATGTTTTAGATTCAAATGTTGCACCATTTTTCAACTTTACACAGAGTACTTAAGAAGTAAATAACATGTTTTTGAATTGATTAAATGAGTTTGGTTTGGTCATTTTCACCAGAGACCAATATGCTAGTCATATTTGTAATAAAATCAAATGTGTAGTGGGTATAGTTTGGTACAGAAATGGTTAGAAAGGGAAGTTCCCTTTTTTCAATTCTAAGGTTTTAAACAAATATTTGTGTAAACTCTCAGACATCCAGGATATGTGTGTGTGTGTTTCCTGGTACACACAGCCTTGCAATCTCTATCAGGGTAAAAGCCGTTAGTGGGTTAGGGTTAGGACTAAGGTGTGTATTGAGTTTACAGTAAGGGGTCAGAGTTAGGCTGTTGAAATGACCAGTTAATGAATCAAAGTCCCCATGAAGAGAAGATCAAACGTGTATGTGCATATGCTCTGCACCTGCACCTAAGGTCAATCCACCTGCACCTGAGGCAGATGCACACAAGGTGGCGTGCTGAGAACATGCTGACCTTAAAAACTAACTGTCTCCAACAGCAGCAGCTGAGATAATTCACATCCTCCATGGCTGAGTCACACTTGATTTAATAGTGCAAGAAAACATACCCATTTTCAGYTGCCATCTTACTGAATTCTACATATTTATAACTGAAGAATCAGTCAATCAGCTTGCATAAATCAGGGCTTGTTTTTGTGTGCATAGCTTGCACATTGGTTATCCAACCCCCAGYGGCGGATCTAGGATTTTTCTGAGTAGGGGCCATCAAGGGGCCACATTATTCAAAGASAGCCTACAGCAGGCAGTATGGTCACTCAGCAGCCGACCGGTCGAAGCGCCGTCACGTGGTTATTCAGCATTCGTTTTCGCACACACCTCTCATAGCTCCTGAGACACCCCGCGACGAGCTCCCCTCCCGCTGCAGCGTACGTCACTGCATGGGATTTCTTCCCGGTCGAGTCCAATGCGGAAAAAACAAGTCCGAGACTTGTCACTCGACGTTGTTTATCCACAAACTGGTCCTGGATAACCTCCAAAGTTTTTATCGGTCAGATTCCATCGTGAAACATGTCTGTTTTATCCCCTTTTATGAGGTTTTGGCCGTTTGAGTATCTTTGTAAACCGCTGCTTCCTGGTAACAGTCGGCTCTGGAAGTGAGGTTTTTAT